CCCCAGCTGTGCAGAGAGATCCGTCCTGCATGCTGTAACCTCCTCCACCCCAGCTGGAGCTCAACTCATGGCTTGGAGTGGGAGGCTTGACAGCTCATGTAACTTCCTTTCCTGGCCCTGGATCTGCAAGGGCCATTCTTAGCCTCAGAAAGCATCCAACCCTTTGTTTTGATCGTGCTAAACATTCTGCCTCTGCAACCTCCTCCAGCTGTGACTGTGTCCTGTGTGGCTTGTTATCCCTCGGATACCTCCTGCCTTCTTCAAGGACACGGTGACGCTACATCTCCAAACCTACACAGAACCGTTCTGTTCATACCCCAGGATCTCAGCATGGCTACTGCCTTTGGAAACCCTTGACGCCCACAGGGGCCTTTTGATGTACATGGAGCCGTTGGGAGAGTGGGTCTCACAAGAGGCTCTTCTGCTGCTGATTCTCCAGCAGCAACTCAGCTGTCACATTGGAAACAGCTGTCTCCCCAAGCCACATCTCCAGCAGCGGGTCTGACTCACCATTGCCTTGCACCTCGGGCAGTCATACACCCAGGCTGCACAGGGGTAAATGACCACGTAAGGTGCAGGGCAGTGGAGAACCAATTCTGTGGGAGCATAATGAATGATGGGGGGAGAGGAGGAGAGAGTGGACTTGTTGACCCAACGTCTCTCTCAGTCCTATAGTCCAAATGGATCTCCAATATAAACCACTGGGCTACATCCAATCCACCTTTGTTTTGAAGGAGCCCCTCCCCAAGAGACCCTACCTTAGCACCTGCTGGATCACCAGCATGTCCCGGAGGCCCTGGAACATGGTCTGAAATGAAAGGACTTGGTCCCACTCTCCTGCTGCTCCCAGTCCCCCCGTGAGTGCAGAACGAGCAATGAAAGGCCAGTACCTCCTTGGGAATCCTGGTTCTTCAGCCCAGCAGCTGCCAGGACATGGACCTGTGATACCACTTGAGGATACCCACACATTCCACTCCAGCAGGTGCGAGGCGGCTCGTCCAAGGTCAGCTCTCTGTGAGGGGGATCAACAGCAAGGGGGTCGTCACGTCAGACACACTGGCGCTCCCAGGCCTCCCGCCTCATTCTAACAGCTGAGCCCTGCAGTGTGGCATCCTGAGGCTACCCAGCGTGAGGGAGTCAGGGGTGCACAGGTGGCCGGCCAATTAGGTCCCCACTGAAAGGAAGCCCAATGCAAACTCTAGGTGGGTCTAGTGTCTGCTAAGGGAGGTCACTTGGTTTCCATGTTAAACGTGGGCTGCTTGTAATGTAGCAGCAGGGAAATGAAGCGAGAGAAGAGGAAATACCCCTGGTAATCCTCCCTGATCACCACATAGCCTGCATGGACTCTGGCAGAATTTACACCTCGCTCCCTATCTACCTTTCTTGGTCATTTTCTTTCTTTTATTGCAGAGAAAAAATAGAGGGAAGAAAAAGTGCAGAGTACATGTTAACTGCAGTACATGGAATTAGTCCTCTAAGAATGAGCAACCTGCTTCTGTGTAGCAAGCGATTGTACTTCCATGGAACCCATCAACTGAGCATCCAAGTGTAGTGCCAGCAGGCAGAACCGAACCTGGGACCTCTGGAGCTTAGTGCACGAGCCTCTACTACCGCATGAACTAAAAGCCACCTAGTTCTCAGCTAAGGCTGTAAAGCTCACTCATTCTCTCTCTGTAAGTGGTCTCAGTGCCACTACATGGGACAGTGAACCACTCCCAGTAAGTGTGGGGGTTACACAAGCACCTTTAATATCTTATAATATCCTCTCCGGGAAGCAGGGTGGTGCTATTTTACAGATGGGACCCCGAGGCACAGCAAAACCAAGCATCCAGCTCAGGGTCACCCAGGAAGTTTGTGGTAGAGCAGGGAACTGAAATTGGAATCCTAGGAATCTCCTGAGTCCCTCGTTAGCACCCTAACCACTGGGCCACCCTTCCTTTCCTCGCTTGTTTTACTAAGGAACACTTTCGTTTGCATGCCGGGTCATTAACCCACAAGACTGCCCACCCATCAACAACATCCATCAGGTTCTCAAGGACCCACAGATTCGTCTGCTGAGTCACACTGCGCCAGGTCAGTCTGAGCACAGGCCCTTCCTGAGTGCTGCCTTTGGGCCAGGGCAGGGGCTAGGATCTGGTCTGGGGAGTTTACCCTGTCCCAGGTCAGCCTCTGACACGGCTGATAAGGAGAGGCACTCCTCACCTGCAGTCTGCCGGCACGTCTGTGAACACCCGGAGCAGGAACTCTCCCACATGACCCGGGTCGAAGGTCGTGGGAATGATGACGTAGCGCCCTTCCTTCAGGTCCGTCCTCAGGAAGATGCTGCGGGAGTTAATGTAGATGGAGCTGGCCACTTTCTGCTGCAGGGTATGCATCCTGTAACGCCGGTTCAGCTCCACCTGGGCACAGGTCACAGCCGGAGACTCAGGCCTGGTTTCGATCCCCAGCGCATGATGGACCCCTAGCGTGGGTCCATCTGCCAGGACCAAATCCAGGAGCCTCTGCAGCTTGAACTAAAGCCCAAACTGCAATCTGTGGCATTGCCACTAGAGGGAGATGGAGCACCACACCAGACAGGCACATGCATGTGCAGGTAGTGTGAGTGCTCAGGGTAACAGATCAACCATTCCTAGTTAGCAGGGACTGTCCCTTCTGCTTTACTGGGCATGGGTGTATTTACTGCCCTACGTCTCTGGAAACTCTCCTACCATACTGGCCCAATCTTTCTGACCCTAATACCTCTAGGGCCTACCCTAGGGCCTACTCCACTTTCTCTTTTCATGCTGCCAGGTGTGACTAAGGCGGTGGAAATAACATTGCCAAGCCTGCCTGGGAGCACTAGTCACTTCCCGGCTCCTGCCGCACGACCCAGGCCAGGCCTACAGGGAAGGTGCCTTTCGTTTCTGGGAGAAAGTGATTTCAGGTAGTCCTGGCCAGTTCTCTCAAGGGTCCTCTCACCTCCACCGCGTCTCCCCACAATAACAGGTCTTTGGGCATTGGTCCCTCCAGCCTCAGTTACACGGACAGACCCGAGGTGGGGTGACCGCAGAGCCAGTCTGTGCGATGCCCCGTCTTCCCATGGGTGAGAGCTCCTGACATCAACCACTGGGGCCTGAGAGCCTCACGCTGAGGCGGGGGGCAACATGTGTGGGATGCAATCTCCCCCTCCAGCTGTACTAATAGCAGCAGAAAGGGGAGGGGCCTATAGCATTCCAATCACCCCCCCCTTATGCACGGGGGGTGGAGGGTGGGAGCGCTAGCAGCAGCAGCAGCGTTCTGCTGGGGTCCTGCCTGGGTTTGCTGGGTAGCTCGCTGAGTCATCTGCCCCCTCTGATGCACCTACCCAGGGGCACCAGCATTCAGGCCAACACCGTACATCCCCCAGCTCACCTTGTGGATATCAAACCCGATGGCCAAGTTCTCTCCTTTGCCTTCTTTGCGGCTGGTCCTCTTTGGTCTCTGCTGGATGGAGATCAGCACTTCGTCTTCTGCCTTTTTCACATCAAACACGTACTAGAGGTAATGACAGGACCGAGAAAGGAAAGGTGAGAGGCCCTCAGGTCTGCTGGAGATCAGGGAGCAGAGAGGGAAGGGTTAATGGTGCCATGGGGAGAGCATTGGCTCTCTCACCTCCGGAGATAGCCTGGGTTCAAATCCAGCAAGTGAACATGTGTTCAGTAGACTAAGCCTGATGCCAAGGGGACTTGCATTTGCATGAGACGTTCAGTCTGACCTGGCTCTGTCTGGGAAGGCCCAAGCAGGGGTTGTACAGGATTTACCTCATCTATCCAGCCTATCACTCTAGTATTGGAGCCTCTCACAGACTTAAAGGCTTTGTCTTCACGGCGAGTTCTTCCAGCAGAAAATATGCTAGAGGGACTCATTAGCATAAGTTGCTATCTCATTAGCATATTTTCTGCTGTTTCTTTTTGTGCAAGGGGTTTTTGCGCAAAAAGAAGCAGTGTGGACAGGGGTTTTCTACGCAAAATGGGGGTTTTGAGCAAAAAAACCCCGTCCACACTGCTTCTTTTTGCGCAAAAACCCCTTGCACAAAAAGAAACAGCAGAAAATATGCTAATGAGATAGCAACTTATGCTAATGAGTCCCTCTAGCATATTTTCTGCTGGAAGAACTTGCAGTGAAGATGTAGCCTAAGGTTTTTACCCTCAGAACACCCCCGTGCTTTTATGCCCATTGTACATGAAGCACATATAGGCTAAGTGACTTGCCCAAGGTCACAGTGGAGTTTGTGGCAGAGCAGTGGCTTGAACTCTGGCTTAGTCCTAGGCTAGTGTTTTAACTACTGGACAATGCTTCCTCTTGTTTCCAAAAGGCAAAGGCTTTGCTGCGCATAGACGTGTTTCTGTTGGTTTTGATGCACTTAACCCACAGTGGCAAGCTCAGCTTCAGAGACAAAAGCACAGAACAGCTCATCGCTAACCCCAGAACCAGACTTTGGCTTCCTATGGCCCACCAGGCTCGAGTTACCCTGCCAGCCTCAGCTCCTTCCAGCAGGTCCTCGTCTCCGCATCTCACCTGGGGGTTCTGCAGGAAGGTGGCTTTGTGATTGATGCAGCCTCCGGAGCGGTTCTTGAGGGGGTCGTCATGTCTCGTCCACTCCCCGCGCAACACCGCCTCCTCCCACGTCTTATGGATGCTCAGGTAGGATGTGTTTATGAGGCGGCACTTGATGATGTCAGTGAAATACTTGCAGAAGTCTTCGAATGTCATCCTACGACAGGAAAGAAGTCACCAGTTCAGCCTTGCACGCCTACCGCTCGCTTTGTGTGGCCAAGCACTGAAAGCAGCCTGTGGTCAGCTACGCACAGTGTGCAACACTGCTATCTAGTGGTTGGTGATCCCCTGAGCGGCTACGGGACAGGTTCTCAGGATATGTCTACAGTGCAGTTTTTCGGAAAAACAATACTTACGTCCACACTGCAATTGCGTTCTTTTGACAGAAAGTCGAAAGAACGGAGGGGTTTTTCCGACAGCAGTAAACCTCATTCTATGAGGAAGAAGCCTTTTTCGGAAAAAGGCGTGTGTGGACGTGGAAGAGAGCATTTTTTCGAAAGAAGAGGCCTCCAGGAAAAAGCTCCTGGTGCCTACTCCGTCCACAGTAATCACAAATGGAAAAGCGAGATAGCGTCCAATCGATGTGGACGCTATCTTTCGAAAAAGCACATTGCTTTTTCATTGAGCTTTTGCTGTGTGGACACACTCTTTTGGAAGAAGCTTTTTTGGAAGATAATGCAGGACAATGTAGCACTTTAAAGACTAACAGGATGGTTATGAGACTCATCCTTTAGCTCAAGGAGCAGAGATTTGTGCTTTTGGAGCTGAAGGAGCAGGTCCCTTGTCCTCCCTTGCATGTGCAGGGGACTTACCTAAACCTTGTGTCTGGTATAGGTGGGACACCAGAAGGATTTGAACCCAGCATCCGCAGAGCTAAGCCTGGGATTTCCAGAGGTGCTTAAGGGAGTTAGGCACATAATCCCATTGAAAATCTACTGAGGAGCATGGGCTTCTACAGCTTGAGTCAAGGACTACGAGTGAAAAACCTGTATGCAGACGGGAGACAAAAAGCCACGCTCGGCTGGAGCTACAGTTCTACATGGTCTCCCGAGGCTGTGAACTGGATCCTTCACCAGAGCTTGTCTGGCGTGGATTATGCTCAGGTCTCCCTTTGCTACGTGCCGGGGGTCCTGTGCTAGTTCAATGGGAAATGCTTCGGAGGGAGTAATCAGTCCACACAGCTTCCCCTTGACGTGGCACAACCCAGCAGGGACTCACCAGAATTCCCCGTCATCCTCCACCGTCATCCCCAGCTTCTCTCGCTCACTCTTGCTCACCTTCTGCCATTCCTCAGAGCTGCAGGGGGGAATGGAAGGCAATCGTTACTAAGAGGGAAAGGGGAGTTACTTTGGGATTTATTCTGCCTGGGAGTGGGGGGATCTGCCTTAAATGGGCAGCATGAGGCCCATGCATAACATTAGCCACATCTGAGTCCTCCAATGGAGCAAAGGGGCTGGACAGTTGGCCCGATAGGGCCCTGGAGGAGCCTGTGGGTGGTGTAAACAGGGTGCAGATCCTCGACTGCTCTAGGTTACACTGGGGGATAGTTCAGCCCCCAAGGATCAGGGGAGTGGATAAGTGGCTTAGATCTAACATGGCCCTCCCCACTCTGAGCAGAGCACTGCTTGGCCAGATTGGGGACCAGGCCCCGTCATTTGCAAACCCCACCAGCTGTGCCAGCAGACGTGCGCTCGAGCAGTCAGGCTGAGGCAGTCAGCCCCCACCTCAGGCACCAGCAGTGGAGCTAGCAGACTCCATGAGCAGCACAGCACAGCACAGCTGCTTGGCTAACCAAGCAGGGCCAGATCCAAGGCTCCAGCATCAGCCTCTGCTGCACAAAGCAGCTGGAAAATTGCCTGGAAAGGAGCAGCTGAAGTTTCCCTGTGATACTGGGGTGGGGGGGGACATATGCTAGCACGACATCACTTGCTCCCCTTACCTCCACGGAGGGGCCACTGGGGTGGGATGTGGCAGGGCATGGCATACCATTCTCCCCCAGAGCCTTGCCTAGCACTACAGTCCCTGGGGGTGCTGTAGGCAGAGTCCTACCAGAGGCGGTCTTGCCTGGCCCTGGATTGGGGGAGCTAAAAGATGACTTCAAGCTACCCTCAACTCCCTCTCCAGCAGTGCTGGGTGTAAACAGGCTGAGGATCTGGCCCAAAACGCCCACTGGATCCTTGATGAACCGTCCAAAGTTTGCTGTGAGAGTGTTCGGCTCCTCGCAATCCCAGCCCAAGCAGCCTCTGAAGCTGGGCTCGGTGTAGGGTAAATTGAGGCAGCGCACGGTATCTTGCTGAGAACTGACAAATTCAAATCTCAAATCATTAGGCCAGCCCTGGGAAGTTACTCTGACCCTGGTTCCCCTGGCAACCACTGTCACGTTGCTGAATTGGAGGGAAGCAGCCAGATTGCTGCTGCACTCCTAGGTGGGGGTGTTGGCCCCAGAAATTGGTGTGGGGGGAGCCATGTGGGGTACTGAATGGGAGATTATTGTTTGTTGATCTTATGTATGCTATTTATGTGAGTGTATAAAGTCTATGTGTGTAGGTAGGAATCTGTAAACTGTGTGGAAGCTGAATATTTCTGTGAATGTGGTTAAGCATGGCTATGGACAGGCTGAGTAGCAAAGCCCTGTGGAACAATGACTCTCAATAGGCTATGGACACACCCAAAGAATGGGATTTGTCACCTGAGGGCAGCCAGCAGGAAACAGAGATTGACCTCTGACCAGGTGACTTGCTGCATACAAGAAGAGGCCAGGAAGGAGTATAAAGAGGCCATGTGGTCGATGCCATTTTGTTCTCAGCTCAGCACTTCATCCCAGAGGCAGCACTGCAGGGATTGAAGAGCCCGGAAGACCTGTGAACCCATCCTGATCGTAGGATGTGCAATAAGAACTTTAAAACCAGCAGCTGCAACATCTCTGCTAGAGCCTGCATCGAGAACTGGGAGATTCGGTGCATGTAACGTACTGTACTTTAATAACCTTACTCTCATGCTTTTCTTTCTTGTAATAATAAACCTTTAGTT